AGTGGGGTTGGAGGCTGTTGTAAGAATGTTAGGGGCTGTAGTACGGGAGTTAGGAGCTGCAATTTGGGGTTATGGGTCTTTAGTAGGGTAGAAAAATAAACTGTAGTTTATTCCCCCCTCTCTGATGCTTAGCTTGGGCTAGGGAGGCAGGAATCCTGATTCCTGGTGGTCCCTGGCGCAGAATGCGGAGCCTAATTTGGGAGTAGAGACTAATCCATACACCCACCTAGGATTAACTCTGTTCCTGGTAGTGTAGCTCATAATGTGCAGCACTCTGTTTAACACTGACCCTACAGATACCTTAATTTATCATCGTGCGAGCTTCCTGACTGCATTGTGGTTATCATTTATATATGCTCTCAATGTCGCCTTGTAAATGGTGATAAATTGTTATCAGTGGTTTTAATTGCCAAACTATATGTATGTGTATTGCCATTTCTATTTTTGACTTGCACACCAAAATAATTTATTTTTTACAAAATAAAGAAATTGGTGATGAAATAAAAAGCCTTGAAAAAGACTCACATGAAATCGAGCAGTTTGTCTTATTTTGCAAACAAAATGCCCCAATGGGAATAAAGTACTGTTCGGGAATGCAATTTTTTCTAAAAAAAAAATAACGTGGGTCCAATAAAACAAATTGTCAAAATTGCAACACTGAAAATGACACGACCCTAATATAACCCTATAACTTCCTATAAATAAAAAGCTACAGTATGTACTGTAATGGTACATGGTAGGTCTGTGAAATTCACCTTGAATTGAAATGTCTCTGTGGAAAGCACAAAGTGTTAACTATATAACACTCAGTTCTGGCAGAGATTATTGATACGATGGTTGAATGAAAAGTATCAAAATGCTCTTAGTTAAATCCCCTGATGGGCGGCTCTAACTTTTACATTTATTTACATTGTATAGCACTATTGAATTTGGTGATTGATGTTAAACGTATAGTTCACTGATGATACATTTTGCAAATATTTAGCTTTAAAATTATAATTCACTCCTTGCAATATTTGCAATATAACTTTCGAAAAATAATTGAAATCATAGACACATCAATTCAAAATGAAAAATATAGCAAGTGAATGTGGTACCTGAAAGATACGATTGCCCCTATGCTGCCAAATATAGCCATTAGCAGTATCACTGTTTGGTTCTTACAATGCAATTTACAGTATGAAGCCAGGACAAATAGCTAAAAGTGCAAATAGAATATTAAAGGACCACTATAGTGCCAGGAAAACAAACTTGTTTTCCTGGCTCTATAGTGTTAATAGGTCCCCCCAACCCTCAGGGTCCCACTCCCACCGGGCTAAAGGGGGAGGAAGGGCTTAAACACTTACCTTTCTCCAACGCCGGTGGACTCTCCTTCCTCTTCCGACGTTATCCGCTAGATGCGCATACACGGCAAGAGCCGTGCGCGCATTCAATCAGTCCATAGACAATGGATGTACAGCATCTTCTCACTGTGATTTTCACAGTGAGAATCGCGGAAGCGCCTCTAGCAGCTGTCAATGAGACAGCTACTAGAGGCTGGATTAACCCTCAGTGTAAACATAGCAGTTTCTCAGAAACTGCTATGTTTATAGCTGCAGGGTTAACACTAGATGGACATGGCACCCCGACCACTTCATTAAGCTGAAGTGGTCTGGGTGCCTATAGTGGTCCTTTAAAGATGCACTAGTTTCACTCCACATTTATTGGGAGTAGCAATATGCAACATAAATGTTTTCTGATAATTCTTTATGAAAGTACAATAATGGCTTTGTACATAATTAAAGGGGATTTCACCTGAAACATTTATGATTTTCATTGTCTCTCCAAATACACGCGGGGCAACTTGCTGTGATAGTAATTACAGAAAACACAGATGGTTCTCAGTCTGCCAGTGAGTATGGATCCTTTCAGAGTTATGCACTAAAGTGAGAATTACTGGGAATTCAAAGTGAAATTCACATTCGAGTCCAAAAAGCGGAAATGGAAGCATTCTCCAAGACAGCTATGCTTCCAATTTGGCTATTTTGTCCTTAAACTGAAATTTACTTTAAAGCCATACTGTAGTGAATAACCCAAAAAATGTTCATCAAATATGTGCCTTGGTTTTAACAACATAAAATTAATCATTTAACTCCCTAATATTAATGTCCAATGGACTACAACAAGGGAGACATAGATCAACAGCCGGCACAGCTTAACCCTTTAATGCCGTGCATTAGTTTACTCCACAACAATTCACTATTTCTACTCCAGCCCTGAAGGGTTTAAAGGAATATTTGCAACACCTTAACCAGTCTGCTCCAGTAGTTATGGTACTAGGAGTGCCCTCGTACCCCCAGTGTAAGTAGTCAAAGAAGTTAAAAGTGGACCATTAAGTCCACTTTTTTAAGCCTGCTGGCTGAGGGAGTAAGCTGAGCTCTCTCAACCAATGAGCTGAGCCCTGGACCACTGATTTAGCTCAATGTAGGAGATTCTGGGCCACAAGTGGATGTTCCCTGTCACAAAAAGTTTGACTACTTATCCTGAGAGGGCAGTAGGGCACTCCAGGTACTATAACCACTGCAGACTGCTGGTGCTTGGAGGATTCCTTTAAGGGAGTGTGTACTATACAGCTACAAAGAAACCAAGGGATGAGGCCTTAGGAAGGTGTATGTGAGATATAGTATGGACTGAATCTATAGTTATATTTGAGGGGCGTGGCCGAGCCGTCAATGAGACTGGACGTGTTTCGGTAGAGCTCCGCCGCAACTGTGCCTAAAGCATTCAAAAGCGACCTCAAAAATCGATACATCACCCCTCACGGGAACCCCCGACATGGAGAAGAGACCCCCTAAGAAGCAAGGGAAAAAAACCGGCCGAAATTGGGACCTCCAGCTCCGTCCTAGACCATTTCCCCATGCACAAACAAGGCCGTGCAGGAAGTCAAGATGGCGACGTGAACTCCCCACAAATATCACCGAGGGCGGCCAGGGAAGCCCCAGTCAACGACCAAGACACCGTTTTGGCCAAACTCGCTGAAGTCAGGGCCTTCTTGGCAGGAGAAATAGCCAACTCAACGGCAATTCTCCAAGCAGAGATAGGGGCCCTGGGAAAACGCACGGCCATCTTGGAAGAGCGCATGGAAACCACTATGCTAGCCCACAACTCGCTTATTGACCGAGTAAACCGTATGACATCACATCTGGTGGAAACCGACCTAACATTGGAAGATATGGCCAACCGGTCACGGAGAAATAACCTCCGCATTCGGGGTCTCCCCGAGGAGAAAGACGAAGATTTGAAGGGGATACTACTCTCCGCTCTAAAGCCTCTCCTGCCCGCCTTATCGGAGGAACAGTGGCACATGGGAAGGGCACATAGAGCCCTGAGACCTCAAAAGATCGACACCAACACCCCGCGGGACGTAATCGTCCGCTTCCTATACTATAGCACGAAGGAAGCGCTGATGGGGAAAAGCCGGGATGCACCGTTACGGTACGCAGGGGCCACATTATCCTTATACCAGGATCTGGCACCGTCGACACTTCAACGACGACGGGAGTGGAGGCCTATCACAGCAGCCCTACGAGACGCAGGCCTGAAATATGCCTGGGGATTCCCCTTCAAGCTTATGGTGTTCCGGGGAGACCGCTCACATACCCTGATGCCGGGAGGGGATCCCCAACGATTCTTTAGGAATCTCGGTCTACAACCACCCCCCCGACTTCCAGATATCTCTCTGTATCCTACCGAGCTTCAACAACTACAGACAGAGTGGCAAGAAGTCGGAGCTAGAGGCCATCGCTGAAGACCTATGGGTATCGTATAATACATACATTACACAACACCATCCACCGCCTTAAACCCCACCTCACACTCCACGGAGACTGATCAGTTTTAAACTATCGTTTTGCACCCCTCCACCCCCCCCCCAGAGCTACACATGGCATCCTTTTGGGGGGGTCTCGAGGGCTTTCCCCTCGCTGGCATGAAGGCCGACACTATCCCCCTTTTTCGTACTCTGACTGGAACGCTCGGAGGATTTACATCGAAACCTGCCCTGTCTTGCCCCCCTTTTCAGCCAATCCTCCATTCCTGTTTTAATTATAGGCTCCAGACAAGCCGCAATATTATGTTACCCTATGTTGCATGTCAGTGGCCTACTCTAAATTGTCGAGGAGGCTAATACGGGAGTGGGTCTAGCCCCCTCGCGACTTGCCTTGGGAGGGTTGAGGGGGGTACCGCAATAGGCCTCACGCAGCCCTTTACAGGACTCAACCTGACAACTGATCCCGCAGGCTGTAGGGACCCCTGAGACTTTTACCAAGGTGGAGGTTCACTGACACCCAAGCCTTGCGGAAACCGGATCCACCTAATTTTTTGGCGTGCAGGCCTGCATCATATCATCACTCTTTCCCTAAGCTACAGTAATAATGCATGTCTCTTTATATTCTGAACGCTGTTACTATTCACGACCCTCTACCTGCTGTACGAGAGAGGGGAGGGGGGGAGGAAAAAAAAAAAAAGGGAGGAGAGGGGGGAAAGAAGTGTTTTTGATGTTTTATACATATGTAATGTTATGATTGGGTGCACTAGATAGAGGCGAAAATCGTATTGGTTACCTATACTCTACCCAAGCTATAACCACCCCAGACTCATGCCCATGTCGGGGACCATTCTTTAGTCCTATGTACAACCCTACCGCTGTAATGGTCTCGACACTCTCCCCCCGTCCCGTGGCTTTCCTCAGAGATCCTTCTCCCGCGACACCATGATTCCTCTATATAGTGGCAGGCTCCCAACATCTATCACCCCGTTTACTACATACGTATAGCAGAGAAAGAGGGGTGGCCGTACTCCTACAAAATTTCACACACACATCCCAAAAGAAAAAGGAAAAGAGGAGGGAAAGGAAAAACACACAAAAAAAACCAATATATATATATATAAATAGTTATCTTCTAATACCACTAAGACGATGAATCTGACTTCGGTCCCCTCTGAGCCTGTCCTCCTAACCACCCACCTAGCGACCCCCCCTACATGGGAAATACTCCCGATAGGAACCGAGACAAATCGGTTATACCCTCCTATGCATGATCATAATGACACTACCAACCCGTGATCCCACGAACACCAACATCACACAATAGACGCGTAGGATTGCAACGGTCAGGGTAGCACTTCCTGTATACATATATCTTCACACCTAACCACATAGAGGGGGAAAGGGTGGCGGACGGATAAACACCTTGGGAAGAGACACCAGACAATTACAACACGACCTCATTGACTGAACGCCTGCGAGATAGCGTAGGAACTGGAGAGTCCCGCATTGAAAGGGGGGGGGGGATACGGGGCGGGGAGACGGGGATCAAGGGCGGGAGGAACCCTGCTGATCGCACCCCCCAAACACCCTCACATTAATACCCGGGAAAGACTGATAGAGGGGTACCGACAGGACAAATCCCTAGTTACATACTACCTCGGATAAGAGAAATAAGAGGTCAAATCAAATTGTGTAGGCGCACGCGTGATGGAACCCACATATCCCTAATCCCTTCTTACGTTGATCGTGGACGGGATGAAGGAACATGCTCCCAGAAAAACCCTGGCAAAGAGTAAGACCAGAGTTACTACATCTCTTCATCTGACTCGACTCGGATGTCTTTCTTCTTCTTCTTCTTTACTATTCTATCTTTTCCCTCCTTCTTTTGTGTGGTGCGACCTAGAGGAGCGACGGAGGCGGGAGGGTGCCCGGGGAGGCACAGGACATGACACTGAGTCAGGCGTAGAAGGACCCAGGTTCCCGAAAGGCTATAAAAGACCTAACCAAACACGTCGCGATGATTAAAATCACGTCATTGAATGTTAAAGGAATTAATGCTCCTAAGAAGCGCCGCCTTATGTTTAAGGAACTGAAGAGACTGAAGACGGATATTGCCTATATCCAGGAAACCCACCTCTCGAAACAAGCCAATATAAACCTAAAAGACCATATCTTTCGAGGATCATGTGAAGCAAGATCACAATGCAAACGCAACGGAGTAGCTATTCTGATCAGGAACAGCTGCCCGTTTCGCAAGACGAACCAAGAAACAGACCCAAACGGCCGATACATTATAGTATCGGGCACCTTGTACTCACATACCATACACCTGATTAACGTGTATGCCCCTAACCAACCAGACCCCTCGTTCTGGACCACCCTCCGAGAGAAAATCTCCTTACTTCCACATGGCATGGTCTATATGGGAGGAGATTTCAACGCCACCCCATGCCCGGCAGCGGACAGGAGCACTAAAGACGGAACACCGAGATCCCATGGAAGGGGTGGACAAGACCGACTGCTCAAAAACTTTATACTAGATGTGGGCCTAACAGATGTATGGCGAGCACACCACCCAGGAGACAGGGATTACTCCTTCTACTCAACACCTCATGGCACATACTCCAGGATAGACTTATTCCTAACTAACGCGACAGGCATGCCCAGGATTACAAGCTCTGCGATTGGCAATATATCATGGTCGGACCATGCGGACGTGTCCATTATATTGGGCAACTTGTTTTTGGCCTCGCCGTGGACGTGGAGATTAAACACATCGCTACTAAGAGACCCGGAGCTCAAAGAACAGATACGGACTGAAATACTGGAATATTTTACCACAAATAATACCCCGGATGTTAGCGCAGGGTCGATATGGGCGGCCCATAAAGTGGTTATAAGAGGGACCCTTATAAAACTAGCCACTAAGAAAAAGAAAATGAAACATAAGCAACTGGAGACCCTGTTAGATCAATTAAGGAATCTTGAACAAAAACATCAAGCAACACCCGACAATGAGATCTATAAGAAACTGGTAGCGGCTCGGAGGGACATCCGCACACTCCTACTGGACGATACCGCTCAATCCATGATATGGACGAAACGGACTTATTACGAGAAATCCAATAAGACGGACTCACTTCTAGCCCGAACACTGCGACCTAGACAAGAACGATCCCACATCACGGCCATCAAACATCCGGATGGAACGACGAAATCAAAGCCCGACGAGATAGCCAAAGTCTTTGAAGACTTTTACAAAAAACTGTACAACCACACACCAGACGCACACACTCCTGACGGAAGTGAAGAAGACCATATTAACAGCTACTTAAATAACCTCGGCCTGCCCAAACTAGGGAGAGACGCGGTGAACAACCTGTCAGCCGAAATTACAGAGGAAGAAGTATACAAAGCCATATCTACCTTGAAAGGTAACAAAGCTCCAGGCCCGGATGGGTTCGAAGGTACATACTATAAAACCTTCAAAGAAGAACTTACACCCCAACTAATGAAACTCTTTGACTACATGAAACAGGGAGGACTTCTCCCTCCAGACATGACCCTAGCTACCATAGTACTAATACTTAAACCTGACAAAGACACGCTCCAACCAGGAAACTACAGACCCATATCATTGATTAACCAAGATCTAAAAATAATAGCAAAAATACAAGCAGACAGATTAAATCCGCTACTAAACTCACTCGTACATGCCGACCAAGTAGGCTTTATTCAGGGCAGACAGCTGTTCGAGAATACTAGAAGGAATATTGACCTAATCTGGAAACAAGTGACATCTAAAATCCCTACCCTAGTGGTCTCTATAGATGCAGAAAAGGCCTTTGACAGAGTGAGATGGCAATTCCTCTTTTCGGTCCTGAACCACCTGGGGTTCCCGAAAGAATTCATAACTACTACAAAAGCAATGTACCATGAGGTGAGAGCACAGATACAGCTCACTAGTGCCCCGATGACACCTTTTCGGCTCTACAATGGCACTAGGCAGGGGTGCCCACTTTCCCCACTCCTGTTTGTACTAGCACTGGAGCCTTTGATGCAAGCGATCAGACAACATCCAGATATTGGAGGAGTCCGGGTAGGGGACAAAAAGTTTACAGTCTCAGCATACGCAGACGACGTTCTGTTGACCATCACGAACCCCTCGACGTCCATGTCGGCCCTCCAAGACGTTATCAAGGACTACGGGGAATGGTCTGGTTATAAGGCCAATATGCAAAAATCTAGTGCTATGCCAATTGGCATGACTGAGGCAGACATAAATCACATACAACTGACCTACCGTATCAGGATGGAAAGAGAGTCTATGAAATACCTGGCTATACACCTAACTACGGACCCGACACGCCTCTATTCCGAGAACTATGGCCCCCTAATTAGGAAGTTGATAGGAGACTTAGAAAGGTGGACGGATAAGCCTATCTCCTGGATAGGACGGATTAACTCTGTTAAAATGAACGTCCTCCCGAGGATTTTATTCTTATTCCAAGCTCTCCCAATCCACGTCACCAAAGCACAACTGAACCCACTTCAACGGTCGATAGCTGACTTCATATGGCAGAACAAGAGGCACAGGATATCAAGACAGATTCTCTACAGACGAAAAGAAAGAGGGGGACTGGGCCTCCCAAACCTATACTTCTATTATCTTGCAGCCCAACTAACACAGATAGCTATGTGGCATTCCCTCCGGAAGAGTGGAGATGGGTCGAAATAGAATCCATGATGGTGGGATGGGACATCCCCCAGTTCACTATGTGGATCCCGAAAGACCACCGACCCTTGATACGGGTGACTTGCCCGTCCATACTTAATTCGCTCCAAATCTGGGACAAAAACAGAACCAAGTATGGACTAGCATCCTCCCCCTCTCCATTGACCCCAATTCTAAGAAATAGAGAGTTCCAACCCGGTATGGCTCCTAAAGATTTCCGAAACTTGGAGAGAACGGGTCTACAACGGATCCATCAATTATATCATAATGGGAACTTAATCCAATTTACGGACCTTCAACAAGACAACCACCTAACTCCCGCGGATTTCTTCAGATATATACAGATTCGAGACTTCGCTAGGAAATCACACATAAAGGCTGCAGCTCAAGGACATATGACGTTCTACGAGAAACTATGCCTTCACGAAAGGACCCCCAAGGGTATGATAACCCTAATGTACGCCCACCTTAGCGCAGAAACCAAAGAATGGGGGAGGCTATCTTACACCGACCAATGGGAGATAGAACTAGGAGAAGAACTAGAAGGCGTAGAATGGCAAGAAATTTGGGAAGCAAATAAAAACGCCTCCATATGTGTTACGCTACAAGAACAGACATGGAAGACCATGTTTAGGTGGTACACAACCCCAATAAAACTTTATAAGATGCACAAAACGGACACCGATGATTGCTGGAGGGGATGCGGAGCCCGAGGTACATACCTTCACATGTGGTGGGAATGCCCCAAACTTTCTGGATTCTGGAAAGAGACAGAAAACCTACTAAAACAAACATTTAATAAACCCCTGACCAGAGATCCATGGGTATACCTCCTAAACAGGTCGGTGGACGGATGGACCAAGAGAGAACAGAAACTAGTCCATAAAATAACCCTAAGCGCAAGGAAAACAATTGCGATGAGATGGCTTTCACCAGACTCACCCGAATTTCCGATAGTGATATCCAGGATCCGCGAATGTAGGATTATGGATGACTTAACAGCGAGAGTGAAGGGATCAACAGAAACATTTCTAAAACTCTGGGAACCCTGGGATAACAGCGCAGTAGGCTCTAGAGAGGTCAGATAGGAATAAACGAAAGATGTAAAGGGGTCTTTACAATAAAGCTAAAACAATTGCGGAATCCTCCTACACGGAGATCCAACCGACATACTTGGCCTAGGGAGATCGGGCAGAACCTGCTGCCCCCCGCCACCTTCTGGACGTACCTCCCTCGCCACCTCTAGGTCACCGCAGTCACCACACAATGCTCCCTTACCTTACACCACTTTCTCAGTCTCCCCCCTTTTTCTTAACTCTTGTTTTTTCTCCTCCCGCGCCTATACGGGAAAAATCCATTTCATATCCGCTACTTACTCTGCATACCAACCTCCTCAGACAAGGTCAACGTAACGAACGTAAAGGGAACCCTAGATACCCCAGATAAACCTCAGACTATTAATCCTCTACTTATATCTAAGGACCTATCAAACCACGGATTAGATACTGACAATATAGATATAATAATAACGACACAAGACTTACACGACATATGAAACAGTATATAGCTCATCGGTAGACCTCAAATTGCTGCTGGGGCAGGGACGCTTCCCTCCCACACCTAAGTATTCCAGACAAACCGATAAATTAAACTGGGGAATTACAATATTAAAAATCCTTTAAAGAGGATAAACCCCCATGGATTCTTTGAATATGAGCACATTCTGTAAAGATTGAACTTCATGTGACTGTTAAGACGTTACCCATACTTTGGCTTCTGCGCAAGCCCAATCGTTGATACTTGGTTATTCTAGATGCAGCTACTAAGATCACTGGAGCACTTGCTGACAATGAGTGATTTGGAAGGTTAAACCTAGTTAAACCTATTTACTTTTGTTTATAAAAAATTCATAAAAATTCCTTGACGGACAGAAACAATGATAGCAATAATGTATAGCACGCTTTGTTACAGGATGTCTTTTTTGAAATGAAGTACATGTAAATGACTTACTCTATGTCTTCTGCGTAAGCCTGTAAACTAATGTTGTATCATTTTGTCCGCCAAGATGGAAAAATAAAGAATAAAGTACTTACAAATGGCAATATAAACATGAAATGGATAAACAGTCCTAAAAATGAGCAGGGAATAGTGCCGTCCGCTTGAAGGGAGGAAACAGTCCTGGTAAAATTGAAGAAAT